TTGCTATCTGTGTAGATTTAAATGGGATGTTTTTCTAAAGTTTAGGATAAATGTGAATTGGACTTTAAAGTTTCGACAGAATTCAACCATGGAGCTGTTCTTTGAAATCTATTGACTCTTCTGATTCTTTTTCTGTAATCACTCATTGTTTATTTTGGAAAAATTTTCAAATCTATCAGCAAATAGAGTGCACAGTGTTCTCTTTCATTTGAAAACAATGTCCTTTGTTCATATGGTTACATTCCCTTTCTCAAATCTAATGTTCAGTATGTCTTCCCTTATTTTCTTGATTAACTCTATTAGATTTGCCAGTTTTATTGGTTTTATTTTTTTTCAAAAGAGCACTTGAATTGTTTATTGATTTCATTATTTTCCAGTTTGTTGATTTCTGAATTTGTTATTGTGGCTTTCCTTAAGCCTGTTTGTTGAAGAGCACAAGAAGATTAGCTTCCAAACTTGAAGGTGGAATCCATTTAATTTTTATCATTTTTTGTTAAATATCATTACCAATTAATGCTATAGAATTTTCTCCAAGTATAGTTTTGGTTGTATCCCTTGGGTTTATTATATCGTTTCTTGTTTTTATAGTTTCACTTTACAAGTAATTTATTTTCTTTTTTTTTTTTTATTTTTATTAGTTGGAAGCTAATTACTTTACATCATTACAGTAGTTTTTGTTATACATTGAAATGAATTAGCCATGGANTCTCAAAAATATACAAGCAACTCCTCCAGCTCAACTCCAGAAAAATAAATGACCCAATCAAAAAATGGGCCAAAGAACTCAACAGACATTTCTCCAAGGAAGACATACAGATGGCTATTTTCTATTCATATTGTTTTGTTACTAGAAAATGTGGCCTCCAAGGTTTCTACCTTTTCAAATGTACTGTGTATTTCCTATTGAATAAGTGGGTAAGCAGCTTCTGACAAGACTCCGAATGATCCCTGTTGCTTGGTATTCATGCCTTTATGAAATACCCTCTTCTATAGTGTAGACCAAGGGTCTCCAACCTCCAGGCTATTGACCTCCTATCAGATCAGCAGTGGCATTAGATTAGAAATAAAGTGCACAGTAAAGGTAATACACTTGAGTAATACACTGGAATCATCCCGAAATCATTCCCCGTACCACCAGCCTGTGGAAAAATTGTCTTCCATGAAATCGGTCCCTGGTGCTAAAAATGTTAGGAGCTGCTGATATAGTCTGTACCTAGTGACTTCCTTCTGATCAGCAGAAAAAGTGATATGATGTCAGTTTCAAGTTAAGATTGTGAAAGATTGTGACTTTTATTCTCTCTCTCATTTGCTTTGTTTTATGAAAGTCAAATGACACGTTGTAAGGCCCACATAGAAAAAACTGAGGGTAGCCTCTACCCAACACCCAGTGAGGAACTGAATATTGCCAGTTGCCATGTGAACAAGCTCATAAGTGGATCCTTCCCAAGCCGAGCCTTCATATGAGACCACAACCTCAGCCAGTGTCTTGATTGCAGCCTCATAAGTAGCTCTGAGACAAAGGGCTTGGCTAAGCTGTACCCAGATTACTGGTCCACAGAAACTGATAATAAACACTGGAGTTTCTTAACATAGTTGATATTTTTACTGAAGTATAGTTGCTATAGAAATATTATGTAAGTTACAGATGTACAGTATAGTGATTCACAATTTTCAAAGGTTATACTTTTTATAGTTATAAAATATTGGCTATATTCTCTGTGTTGTGCAATATACCCCGTGGTGGTTTAGTCACTAAGTCATGTCTAACTCTTGTGATCCCATGGACTGGGACCCTTCCAGGACCCTCTGTCCATGGGATTCTACAAGCAAGAATACTGGAATGGGTTGCCATTTCCTTCTCCAAGGGATCTTCCTGATCCAGGACTTGAACCTCGGTCTCCTGCATTGCAGGCAGGAATTGAACTTGGGTCTCCTGCATTTTAGGCAGATTCTTTACTGACCGAGCTACAAGGGAAGCCCTACAATATACCCTAGTAGCTTATTTTATACATAATAGTTTGTACCTCTTATTTCCCTACACCTATATTATCCTTCCCCACTTCCTTCTCGCAACAAGTAACCATGAGTTTATACTCTATACCTTTTGGATAGTATGGTCATTTTAAGAAGATTAATTCTTTCAATCCAAGAACATAGTGTACCATTTCATCTATTTGTCTTGGCTTTAATTTCTCTCATCAGTGTCTTAAAGTTGACTGAGTAGAGGTCTTTTGCCTCCTTAGATAGGTTTACTCCTAGATATTTTATTCTTTTTGATGCAACAGTAAGTGGAATTGTTTCCTTAATTTCTCTTTCTGCTACCATGTTGTTAGTATAAAGAAACGCAAAAGATTTCTGTATATTAATTTTGTATCCTGCAACTTTATTGAATTCATTGAAGAGTGCTAGTAGTTTTCTGGTAGTGTCTTTAGGATTTTCTATGTATAAGGTCATGTCACCTGTAAGCAGTGACAGTTTTACTTCTTACTTTTCAATTTGGATTCCTTTTATTTTTTTATCAATCCTAGACATGGCTAGGATTTCCAAAACAATGTTGAATAAAAGTGTCGAGAGTGGGCATTCTTGTGTTTTTCACAATCCTAAAGAAAACACTTTTAGCATTTCACCATTGAATATGATGTTAGCAGTGGTTTTGTCATATATAGCCTTTATGATGTTTCCTCTATGTCGGCATTCTGGAGAGTTTACCAGCTGGTTCCAGGGTAGGGTTAGCCTGCTGTGTATGAGATCAGTGCACATGTTATGAGATTGTGGTTTTTTTGCCTATGGTGTCTGCCTCCTGGTGGGTGAGGCTGGCCTAGATGCTAGTACAGGCTTCCTAGAGGACAAGTCCCGTGGTTGTCCACTTCTGCATGGAGCTGGTCTTGACCCTCTGGTTGTGTCTAGAGATATGTCTACAGGTAGCTGTGAACTCACGAAGATTTTAAACATCCTGTCTGCTGATAGTTGAGGCTATATCCCCACCTAATTAGTTGTTTAGCCTGTTGTGTCCCGCACTAGTACCTATAGGCTGTTGGGAAGGGCCAAGTCTTGGCACTAATGAAATTGATCCAAAGATGGCAGCCACTAGTAGCAGTGAACACAGGTAGAAGGAGCCCCCAGATATGGCTGCTGCCAACGTCTATGCCCCTAAGGTGAGCCACAGCCACACACACACACACACACACACACACCCACACACCTGCCTCTCAGGAGACTCTCCAAGACCTGCCAGGCAGGTAGGTCTGGCCCAGGCACCTACCAGATTATAACTTTTGTCCTGGCTCCTGGAACATGTGAGATTTGTGCGTGTACCCTTTAAGAGTGAAGTCTCTATTTCCCTCCGTCCGGTGGTGCTCCTGAAATTAAGCCCTGCTGGCCTTCAAAGCCAAAAGCCTTGGCGGGGGGTTGGCGGGGGGGAGTCATCTGGAGGCTGGGGAGCCTGATATAAGGTTCAGACCTCTCACTTCTGTGGGAGAACCTGTGCAATATATTTTCCAGTATGTTGTGTGTACCGGAATTGATTATATCCTAAGTCCACCCGTCCCGTCTCACTGTGGTTCCTTCTTTATGTCTTTAGTTGTAGAAGACGTTACCTGGTAGGTTCTGGTCTTTTACATCAATGGTTGTTCTGTAGATAATTGTGATTTTTGTCAGCTTATGAGAGGAGGTGAGCTCAGGGTCTTTATACTCCACCATCTTGACTGACCTCCATAAATATTGTTGTTTTAAATCCCTAAATCTTGGGGCTAATATCTTACACAGCAATAGCTAGCTAGCTAATATATTCACATTGATTAATGTGTGTATGTTTCATAATTTTTTCCTTTGGAGAAATATTTTCTCTGTTCAATATACATATATTAAATAAAGTTTATTAATTTTTTACAAGCTTTTCTCTCAGCATTTGACAGCAATCATTACTTCTCCTTAAGAGTTCCCTTGACACCACTCTTTGCTGATTTTTTTTGCCATTTCTCTAGTAGACATAATCTAATTCAAGCCAAATATAGCCTTCTCTAGAACTTTTCAGCAAAATCATAATTAAAGAAAAGAAAAGACCTATCTGTTGAAGTTGATAGGGTTTCCAGTGGTTATCTTGCTGCCTCATGCAGAGAGGTTGTAAGAAAATAAAGTCGAGCATATGAAGGCAGAAAGCTAAGTGCCCAAGGCCTAAGGACACTGTTTGAGCTCCTGGATCCAGCCAAGCTTGCATTCCTTAGATTTCCCAGATCCACACATAGATTCTCTTTTGCAACTAAACATCCTATGTATTATTACTCCCAGTATTATTTCTTATCTTGGCATTTTCCTAGTTTCCCACATCTCCAACTTCATACTGATGATTTCTACCTGGATTCCTTCACATACTGAAACACATCCAAAAAGTCATTTTTCCTATCAGTTCTGCTCATTTCTTCAGGATCTCTTGTTTCTTTAGAGGTGCCACCAACCTCTGAGTTACTTAAATTTAAAACCTTAAATTTTCATCAACGCACCCCGTTCTCTCTTCATAGTCTGTTGTTCTCAAGTCTGTCCTTCCCTAATCATTGCACCTACCTGGCTCAGTCCTTCCTCACCTCTCACTGTGTCAGCAGTCTCTTCACTGGCCTCTTTGATTCCCTTGCAACTCACCCTGCACAAGTGACCAGGTGACATTTCCTGAATTTCAACTCTATTAATGTCACTCCACTGGCCAAAACCTGCACTGGCTTCTTTCTTATTGCCCACAGTATGAATCTGGCGTTAGGAGCCCTCTAATCATAGAGGAGCTGAGACTTACTGTACACTTCCGGCTGCCAAGCCTGGCCTGAGCCCTCAGCCTACCTTTCCTGTCATACCTAGGGTCATAAAACCCTAGGAGGTGCTATCATTATGTCCAGTTTACATACAGTAAATAACTCCTGAGGTCACAGAGCTGGTAAATGGTACAGCATTTGACCTGATTTTTGCTCACTGTCCTTTATTATACTATATATTACATACCCTTGATGAAATATCTCCTTAACGGTCACTTTACTGAAGACCACATTTCAGTAGAACCATTGTGTGACTCTCTGCAGTTCCTCCTGCAGCTTCCCACCTCCCTATCTTTGTTTGTGCAGTCCCCTTGCCCAGAATGCTCTGGCCCATCATCAGCATCCTTAAGACCCAGGGGATGCCTCTTCCCTCAGGAAGCATTCCCTGGATAACCCAGGTAAAACTAAGCTCTTTCCTCCATGAAATGCATTATTTAATTTTTAAAAACAATTCCAGGTAATTAATTCATGACAGGTTATAAAATATAAAACATATAGAAAAATTTGGAGTAAGGCAAAATAGTTTTTGCATCCTGTGAACTACTTTCCCTCCCCAGAGGCAATCAACCCTAACAGCCTTTAGGTACCGTTTTAGAGATGTTCTATGCATTTATAAGCAACTGTATACTTTTCATGTTTTTAACAAATAATGTAGCAATATAGCATACTATACACATTGCTCTGAATGTAGCTTTTTTCACTTCCTTTATTGGAAAATTTTCTATATCAGATATGTAAAGCTGCCTCGTGTCTGTCTGTCTCTCTCTTATAAAGAACTGCCCTATCTATTCATCAGTCTTTTAAATTATTTTAGGCTTTATTCACATACATTTCAAGTTCCTTGAAGATAGTAATAGTTCTTTTATTTCCTTTATAGCACAGCCCCTGGCTTGGGTGGTCCACAGGTTGTAGGGTTTTTTTTGTTATATTTTTCATTTAGAAGAGTTACAGATTTACAGAAAGATTGGAAAGAGTGTGAAGTTTCCATATATGCTTACCTTGTGCCTTTTTACCAGCTGATTTCCTCATGTGGATGTTCCACAATTAAGAATTAAGGTCATTTACTATCATTCACAATGGCAAAATGCTGTAATCAATGCTCTTAAACATGGGTTATCTTGTACATGTGCAGGTGTATCTGTAAGATAAGTTCATTAAGGTACATTTGCTGGATCATGGGTTGTGTGATTTTCTGTAAGAGGCACTTAATGTTGTTCAGAAAAGTTATACCCATTTACATCCCCACTAGGAAGAGTGTGTCAGAGCCTGTTCCTTCTCACCCTCACTGCCTCACCACGTTACCCAGTTTTCTTATCTTTCCAGTCTGACAGGCAAAGATTGTAGCTCATTATAGTTTAATTTGCACTTTATTTTTATAATTGAAGTTGAATATCTTTTCATTTGTTTAAAAACTACTTATATTTTCTCTTCTATGAACTGTCTATTCATATCCTTTGCCTGTTTTTCTATTGGGCTGCAAGTCTTTTTCTTATAGCTTTGTGGGGATTCTTATCTATTAAGAGGCTGTTCTGTATGATATAACTTGCAATTTTCCCAATATATCCAGACATTATTGTATTTCTTTCCATACTGAGCTTTTAAAAAAATTATGTACATAAATTTATGTCTCTTATGGATTCTGGTTTTGCAGTTATACTGAGAAAGAACTTCCATGCCCTGAAAAATGAAAAAATAAACCTTTCCTGATCTCCTGAAATACTTTTATATTTAAATATTTCATCTGTTTGGAATTTATTTTGATGTGAAATATGAGGTATAGATCTAATTTAATTTTTTCCAGACAGCTAACAATTATATCAATTCTATTTATTAAATAATCCACATGTTATCACTTATTTGAAGTGCCTTTAGTTCGCTAGTGTATCATTTTGCCTAATATTTCATTTGGGATTTCTTTGCATTGATAATCAAAAATGAAATTGGCTTGCAGTTTTCTTTTCTGGTGTGTTTTGTCGGGGGGGCGGGGGTGGAGGCGTTGTATCAGTGTTATGTGTCATAAGAAGACTTCCTGTGCTCTGGAATAACAACTGGCATTATTATTATTTATCCTTTTAGATTCTTCTGGAATTCTCCTGTGAAGCCATCTGAATCTCCTGATATTTTTGGTAGCTGCTTGATAATATTTTCTCCCTGTTCTTTATTGTTCTGCTTACATGTTTTGTCTATCTGGTGATAAGTTTGGGGAATTTATATCCCTTATAAAATAATCTGTTTCATCCAGATTTTCAAAATGATTTATAAAGAGCAGAGCAAAGCAACAGCATACAACCCTCTTAGTTTGCTCTGTCTCTGAGATATCTATATCTGTTAGTCTCTTATCAAGGAATAAGTTAATAAATAAATTAGAGATTAGTGAGTCTTTAGAGTAGAAAAATAATAAAATTAATAAATCTTAGAGCTGCTTCTTGGGGTGAAAAAGATGAACTATTAGCCAACCTAATAAACCATTAATCTCTTTACTAACTCCATAGTTTTGCTCTTTCCAGAATGTCATATAGTTAGATTCATTTGGTTATAGGCTTCCCAGATTGACTTCTTTCACTTAGTGAGTTGCATTTAAGATTTATCCATCTTTTAGTGACTTGATACCCCCCTTATTTTTAGCACTGAATAATATTATATTGTATGGATGCACCACAGTTTGTTTATTCATTCACCTACTGACAGACATCTTGGTTGCTTCCAAGTTTTAGCAATTATGAATTAAGTTGCTTTAAACATTTGTTAGCGGATTTTTATGTGGATGTCTTAGTTAGCTAGGGTTGCTATAACAAAATACCATAAACTGGGTGACTTAAACAACAGATATTTATTTCTCACAGTTCTAGAGGCTGGAAATTCATGATCAGGCTGGAAATCCATATCAGCTAGTGTAATCGGGTTCTGGTAAGAACCATCTTCCTGGCTTGTAGACAGCTGCATTCTTGCTGAATCCTCACTATTAGTAAGAGTGATCACCTCTTATAAAGGTGCTAATCCCATTATAAGGACCCCATCATCATGACCACATCTAAAACTAATTACCTCCTGGAAGTCCCTCCTCAAAATATTGTCACATGGGGGATTAGGGCTTCAATACATAGATTTTGAGTGGACCCCAGTGTTCAGTCCTAAACAGTGCACATCTGTTTTCAGTTTATATGGGTGAGTTTATACCAAGGAGTGTGAAGCTAGAAGAGTGTGTTAATTTTGTGAGAAACCCCCAACTGTCTTCCAAAGTGGCGGTACCACTTTACATTCCCACCAGCAGTGAATGGCTGTTCCTTCACATCCTCACCAGCTGTGTGGTGCTATCAGTGTCTGGAGTTTGGCTATTCTCATTGGTACATAGTGGTGTCTTGTTGTCTCAACCTGCTTTTCCCCAATGGCATATGATGTGGAGCATCTTTTCATGTGCGCATTTACCATATGTAAATCTTTTTTGGTGAAGTGTCTGTTTAGGTCTTTTGCCCTTTTTTCTTCCAGTTGTTTGTTGCTTTATCATTGAGTTATGAGAGTTCTTTGCGTACTTTGGATAGCAATCCTTGATAAGATATGGTTTTTGCAGATATTTTCTCCCAGTCTATGGCTTGTCTTCTCATTCTCTTGTATCTTTCTACCTTACAGAGTTGTCCACATTAAACTTTCAGCAATCGTTGATTACAGTTCAGGTTTTCTAACTTGATACATGTTCTGCCAGAGGATTCTGCTCCAGAAGCTTGTGATTCTCTGTCTCTTCAATTTGGGGCTGTGGTTTGCCCTGCGAGCCCCTTTCTCTGACAAATCTAAGAAGAGCTCATTTTTCAGACTGTTTAACTTTTTGCTTGTTACTAGGATTGAGCAGTGACTTCCAAGCTTCTTACATGCTGGGCCAGAAGTCAGAAGAACAAAATTTGGTTCTGTTTATATTTAAAATGTTAAATAATAGGGATTTTTACTTCTAGCTTTATCCATTTTTATTTGTATTTCATTGAGATCAAAGAATAGTAGTCCTGCTTCCTAGAATTTACTGAGCTCAGGTGGCAGTCAGGTTTGATCATAGCCATCATATTTTTTAAGTTTATTTTTAATTATAAGATAATTGCTTTACAATATTTTGTTGACTTCTGCCATACAACATGAATCAGCCATAAGTATACATATGTCCCCTCTCTCTTGAACATACCCCCCACGCCCACTCCGTCCCACCCTTCGAGGTTATCACCAAGTATCATGTTGAGGTCCCTGTGTTATGTATCAACTTTCCATCAACTACCTGTTTTACATGTGTGTATGCACATATAAGCATGCACGCTGTGTGATCAGTCGTGTCTGACTCTTTTGAAACCCCATGGATAGCCCACCTACTGTGGGAATTTTCAAGCCAATATTGGAAAGGGTTGCCATTTACTACTCGAGGGGATCATCCTGATCCAGGGATCGAACCTGAGTCTCTTGTGTCTCCTGAACTGGCAGGTGGTTTCTTTACCACTACACTACCTGGGAAGCCCCTATCTATTTCATATATGGTAATGTATATGTTTCAATGCTACTCTCTCAGTTCATCCCACCCCCTCCTTCCCCCACTGTGTCCAAAGTCTGTTTTCTGTGTCTGCATCTCTATTCATTCATCAGTACCATTTTTCATCAGTACAATTGTTCTAGATTCTATATACATGCATTAATGTATGATATTTGTTTTTCTCTTTCTAACTTACTTCACTCTGTATAACAGACTCTAGGTTCATACATTTCACTCACACTGACTCAAATGTGTTCCTTTTTATGGCTGAACAATGATGAAAGTGAAAGAGGAGAGTGAAAAAGTTGGCTTAAAGCTCAACATTCAGAAAACTAAGATCATGGTACCCAGTCCCATCACTTCATGGNACTGAACTGAATATTCCATTGTATATATGTACCACACCTTCTTTATCCATATATCTGTCAATGGACATCTAGATTGCTTCCGTGTCCTAGTTATTGCATATACTGCTGTAATGAACATTGGGGTACATGTGTCTTGTTCAGTTATGGTTTTCTCAGGGTGTGTGCCCAGTAGTGGGATTGCTGGGCTATATGGTAGTTTTATTGCTCTTTTTAAGGAATCTCCATACTGTTCTCCATAGTGACTGTATCAATTTACATTCCCACCAACTGTGTAAGAGGGTTCCCTTTTCTCCACACCCTCTCCAGCATTTATTGTTTGTAGACTTTTTGATGATGGCCATTCTGATGGTGTGGGGTGGGTGAATAGATATCATATTTTATGTTGATTTTTGTTTCAGCACAGGCTGGAGGAAAGCGGGAGTCAAGGTGATGGGAAAATGTAATGTGGGGCCTGGGAGTAGCAACAACTCTGTTCTGTTTGTCCGTGGAATGCCAACTATAACTTTCATTAGCCCTGAGTCATTTCTCTTTTTTCTTCTAACAGAACCCTTCCTTAAAAGCGGGAGCCCATTCCATGTGAATAACTCCTTCCCTCTCTAAAAGGCTGTGCACAGGATGCAGGTCTGGCCAATCACAATACCCCCCTTTTGGATAATAGTGATTAGTCCAGAAATGAGCACATGACCCAAGAATAGCCCATCAGAGTCTTGGCCAAATCTCACTGGGTTCTTTCAGATAAAAGTTCTGCTAGGGAACCACTTCGCTGTAATGTAGGGAAAGTGTTTGAGAACGAGGCCAACAACGAGGAAAGCAGACTATGAGGAAGGAGAATGGAGCCAGATGACTGATATTGTCACTTGAACTCTTGAATCCTTAAGCCATGTGCATGTTTAGAGCTTCCTAGTTATGTGAATTGATAAATCCCCTTCCTATTTGTTTATATTAGTTTGGTTTTCTGTCCCTTGTGACTAAAAGAGCCCTGACAAGGTATGCAGGTGTTTAGGTTGGGATGCACACTGCTGAACTGACTTAGTTCACTATGTGGTGAAGCCTGTCAGTAGCACAGAATTCCAGAAGTTGCTCTGACCTCTTACTCATGGTGTGGAAAGCAGGCCTTGGCTGGGCAGGCTGACAGAGTACTCTCTCTGCCCACCCTTAACTGTGAACTACACGCTGCTTAACCTGAGGCATCAGCTCAGCAGAGCAGCTGTGAGGTGGGAGGGCAGGCTGAGTCACACAGGGCACGTCATCCTGCCTGTGCTCTGCGCCTGTGTGGGAGACGGCTGGTCTTACACCCCAGAACCCAGCACCCCCACTCCAGCACCAGGCTCTCCCTTTTGGGGCTTCCCCAAGGACCAGAGATAATTGTAAATAATGTTTAGTGAGGGTGCAAAAGGAACTGCAGGATATTAAGTAGCATCAGCCTTAAATAAGTCCAGAAATGAGCACATGACCCAAGAATAGCCCATCAGAGTCTTGGCCAAATCTCACTGGGTTCTTTCAGATAAAAGTTCTGCTAGGGAATCACTTCGCTGTAATGTAGGGAAAGTGTTTGAGAACGAGGCCAACAAGGAAAGCAGACTATGAGGAAGGAGAATGGAGCCAGATGACTGATATTGTCACTTGAACTCTTGAATCCTTAAGCCATGTGCACGTTTAGAGCTTCCTAGTTATGTGAATTGATAAATCCCCTTCCTATTTGTTTATATTAGTTTGGTTTTCTGTCCCTTGCGACTAAAAGAGCCCTGACAAGGTATGCAGGTGTTTAGGTTGGGATGCACACTGCTGAACTGACTTAGCTCACTATGTGGTGAAGCCTGTCAGTAGCACAGAATTCCAGAAGTTTCTCTGACCTCTTACTCATGGTGTGGAAAGCAGGCCTTGGCTGGGCAGGCTGACAGAGTACTCTCTCTGCCCACCCTTAACTGTGAACTACATGCTGCTTAACCTGAGGCATCAGCTCAGCAGAGCAGCTGTGAGGTGGGAGGGCAGGCTGAGTCACACAGGGCACATCATCCTGCCTGTGCCCTGCGCCTGTGTGGGAGACGGTTGGTCTTACACCCCAGAACCCAGCACCCCCACTCCAGCACCAGGCTCTCCCTTTTGGGGCTTCCCCAAGGACCAGAGATAATTGTAAATAATGCTTAGTGAGGGCACAAAAGGAACTGCAGGATATTAAGTAGCATCAGCCTTAGAAAGCACCGGCTGGAGAAGTATATTAATTTGCAAGGGCCGCTATGACAAAACACCCTAGACTGCATAGCTTAAACAACAGAAATTTACTTTTTATGGTTCCAGAGGCTGGAATTCACAGGTCCAGGCATCTGCAGGTTTGGTTTCTCCTAAGGCCACCCCCGCCCTCCACCGGCTGGCAGATGGCCCCTCCCCTCTGTGTCCTCACCTGGCCTTTCCTCTGTGCACCCACACCCTTGGTGGCCCCATGTGCCAGATGTCCTCTTCTCACAAGGACAGCAGTCACATGGAACTAGGATTCACGCTCACAACCTCACTTTCTCTTAATCACATCTGTAAAGGTCCTATTTCCAAATACAGTCCTATTCTCGGGTATCAGGCATTGGGACTTCAACGTGCGAGTTTGGGGTGGGAACACAGGTCAGTCCATAACAGGAAGGGTGGGCTTCTCCCTGTCTCCTCTTTACTGCTTCTACTCTTCCTCCCCTCTCGTTCACTGCAGTTTCTGCCCTCCCCAGGGAGAGAGACAAGGCAAGGTGTAGGAGAGTTCCCACTCACCTGCTCTGCTTTTTTTGGTTTTCATTGCTGCATTTCAGAGGGCAGCCCTCACCCATGGCAGCAAATTGCACACTACAGTTCCCTTAGGTGGGTGAATACCCTGCTATCCCAGCTCATCCATGCCCTGTCCTCTTCAGGCATAGGGATCCACGAGTCCTTCCTGCTGAAGTCAGTTCACCACCACATACCTGCCCTTGATTATTAAGAAGAGTGTGCTTCCCAGACACAAGCTCAAGGTGGTGACAGGTAAGTCTGTGGGCACAGCAGGACCAGGCTCAGACAAGAACCTGGCTCAGATGGGACCCAGGTCTAGGTGAGAGCTGAGCAACATGTAGAGTGGCTGCAGGTTGTAGATGGAGCTAAGGCCAGGTGTTACCAAACCAAACTTGGGTCCACTTGCCTGCAGGAAAAACCCAATCTATTGACAATAGGTGTTGGTAAAAGAAAGAGAAGTGTTTATTACAGGGTACCAAGCAGGAAATCTGAGCAGCCAGTGCTCAAAAGGCCCAGACTCCCTGATGTCTTTCAGGGAAAGGTTTTTAAAGACTGAGTGATGGAGGGGTGATTGAAGGGTGTAAGATCAGCTCATAGATATCTTTTTGATTGGTTGATGGTGATGTAATTGGGAGTCAACGTCATCAACCTTCTGGTTCCAATGAGTCTAGGGTCTGTGTGTTTGTGGGCAGCATGTAGTTAACTTCTTCCCCCTGGTGGGGGTTTCAGTATCTGCCAAACAGTTCAAAGAATACTATCTCCATATATTATCTTGAGGCTCAGGATACTATCTATAGCCCTTGCAGAACTAAATGTCTGACTTTGTTTAAAGGCTAAACTATTATTATTTTGTCTTGCCTGACTGTTTTTCTTTGTTTCTTCACTGTCTCATCTCTCTGGTTAAATTTGTTCTTTGGAACTCAGAGAAGGCCTAGGAGGCTAAAATTTTCCTACAAACAAGAGGCAAGTGAAGGACATGTGGCAAGAGGCTCTGTCCTGGGAAGGTCCCATGGGGTCCTGCTCAGTTACACAGATATATCTAAGAGCAGGGGTTGGGGGTACAGGAAAGAGGCCGTAGAGGTGGTAGGTGTACTGCCCTGGCATTAACGACTGCTCATGCACCATAGAACAGATTATTTATCAGAGAGACTTCCCTCCCTTCCAACCAGAAGGAGTGTTGATCCTGCAGGCCTAACAACAAAAGCTAATGTTGAATGAATCTGTTTGAGGGGCCAGGCCCTGTGCTAAGCACCTCGTGTGTATGCACTGACTCATTTACCCCTCCAATCCTGTGGAGTATGTACCCTCATTGTCCTCACTTTACAGATGAGGAAATTGAAGCACAGAGAAGTTATATAATGTACGCTGGGTCACACAGCTGGGAAGCATTGGTGCTTCAGTTAACCCAGGAAATTTGCTTCCAGGGTTTATGTGATCAACTAATGTACTATCCTGCTTTTCAAAGGAGAGGCTGTCCAAAGGAGACAGTCACTCCACACTTGGTTTAGAGCCGTATATAGGAGGACATGGTGGGAGGAGTCTCTGGTGGGAGGAGACTGTGGTGGGAGCTGGGTCCTGCCTCACCCATCTTCTCTCACAGGAGCCGTGGGTTGGCAATTGGCCCTTCTCCTGTCCTGCCCCCCGTGACAGCTGGGTGAGTGGCTTCCATTCCTGTTTCCTTCCACACAAGCACAGACTATGTGGTCCCTGGATCTTTGCTCAGCTGAAACTTGTCTTTAATTTGCCAACCGTATGCAAAACCATGGACAAGTCACACTCTTCCCTAGAAAACTTCTTGACTTGGCAAACATAACCAATCCCGTCCACTGACCTCAATGTTCTTTCTCACTTTCCCTCCTGCTCAGGAATCCCCAATCCTAGCTGCTTATTAAAGCTATCTGTGGCACTTTTACAAATAACCATGTCTGGGCTCTCAAATCAGTCAGATCCCAATGGGGATGGAGGGGCACCAGGTGATTCTACTGCTCAGCCAGCCTGAGAACCACATTCCCATCTCCCCACAGCATCCCAATCAAAGCCACAGGTCAGGATCATTTCTTTCTCTCCTCAAGCAAGATAAATCAGAGGCGCTTTACTGACAATGATTTTAGAAGCAATTGCTTCTCCCCAAGGCCATTTTTACCCAGACCAACCATAAATAAGATGTTCTGGGTTGGGCAGACTGGTCCTAAGGCCCCCTCAGTGGTCTGTCAAGCCAGGGGAAGGCATAACACATCTTCTGGGGAAATATCATGGCAACATGGCCCAGTCATCTCAGCTGAAAACCTGCATCAGCTGAGAGAGACCTCAGCTCTCCAGAAGAACTATGAACTTTGTTTAACATCTTTTCATTGCCAGAAGGCTGCGATCCTAAAGAGAGGGGTATGGCCCCTCCAAGGCCCCTCCCAGTAGGAGTACTGGGGCTCTGATCTTTATGATTTCTTTCCTTCTACTAACTTTGGGTTTTGCTTGTTCTTCTTCATCTAATTCCTTTAGGTGTAAGGTTAGATTGAGACTTTTCTTATTTCCTGAGGTAAGCTTATATCACTATAAACTACCCTCTTAGAACTGCTTTTGTTGCATCAATACATTTTGGATCATCTTTCTGTTTTCATTTGTCTCTATATATTTTTAAATTTACTCTTCAATTTCTTCATTGATCTTTTTTTTTTTTTTAGAAGCATGTTGTTTAGTCTCCATGTGTTTTTCCTCCCATTTTTCTTTCTGTGGTTGATTTATAGTTTCACAGTAGTGTGGTCAGAAAAGAGGCTTGAAACAATTCTGTTCCCTTAAATTTGTTGAGGCTTGTTTTTGAGTCTCGAGTATGCAGTCTATCCTAAAGAATGTTCCATGCATTCTTGCAAAGAATATGTATTCTGTTTTTTTTCTAATGTATTGTCCTATAGATATCAATTGTGTCCAGATGTTCTATTGTGTCATTTAGGATCTCATACTTACTGATTTTCTGTCTGAAAGATCTGTCCTTTGGTGTCAGGGGGTGTTGAAGTCTCCTTCTATTGTTGTATTCCTGTCAACTTTTCCCTTTATGTCTGTTAGAATTTTTTCTATATGTTTACATATTCCTATATTGAATGTATATATGGTAACAAGTGTAATGTCCTCTTCTTGTAATGATTTCCTTATCATTATATAGTGTCCTTCTTTGTGTTTCTTTATGGACTTTTCCCAAAGATTTTCATCTGATATGAGTATTACCTACCCCCTCTTTCAGGTCATTTCCATTTGCATGCAGTATCATTTTCCATCCCTTCACTTACAGTCTTTCAACCTAAAGTGAGTATCTTGTAGGCACCATATTATATGTTCTTGGCTATTTTTTTTTAATCCAATCTGCCACTCTGTGTCTTTTGATTGGGACATTTAGTCCATTGATATTTAAAGTAATCATTAACAGGTATGTATTCATTGCCATTTTAAACCTTGTTTTCCAGTTGATTTTGTAGTTCTTTCTTTCTTTTCGATTTGCCTTTTGTGGTTTTATAGTTTTCTTTTGTAGTATGCTTAAGTTCCTTTCTTTTTGGTTTTTGTGAGTCTATTTTTTTTTTCTCTCTTTTTTTTTTTTTTGATTTTTTTTCCAATTTATTTATTTATCTATTTTCTTTACAATATTGTATTGGTTTTGCCATACGTAGACATGAATCCGCCATGGGTGTCCATGTGTTCCTCATCCTGAACCCGCCTCCCACTTCCCTCCCCATCCCATCTCTCTGGGTCATCCCAGTGCACCAGCCCCAAGCACCCTGTATCTTGCATCTAACCTAGACTGGTGATTCATTTCACATATGATAATTTACATGTTTTAGTGCCATTCTCCCATATCATCCTGCCCTCACCCTCTCCCACAGAGTCCAAAAGACTGTTCTATACATCTGTGTCTCTTTTGCTGTCTCGCATACAGGGTTATCATTACCGTCTTTTATATTCTTTGGTTTCATGGTTAGCCTGATTTTCAAGTGTTAACCCATAGATTATATCTACTTGCTATAAACTGATAGTCATACAAGTTCAAACACACTCTAAAAGATCTACAGTTTTTTACTCTCCTCCCCACATTTTGAGATTTTTATATCCTATTTTACATCTTTATGTTTGTCCTTCTGCTACTATTGTATTATTATAATCATTTTTTAAAAATTTGAACTGTTTTTTAATCTATGTACTGGCCTAAGTTATCTTCATTCCTTTTATATATTTGCCTTTCCTATTACATTTTTCCCTTTCATATAGATTATTGCTCTTTTCTATCTAGTGAAGATCTTTCAATATTTCTTTTACAGTAGATTTAGCATTGGTGCACTGCTTTGTTTTTATTCGTTTCTCCTGCTGTAAATGATAATCTTTCTGGGTAGAGTAACCTAGGTTGCAGAGTCTTCCCTTTCAGGACTTTAAATATATCATGCCACTCTCTTCTGGTTGGCAAAGTTTCTGTACAGAAATTAGCTGATAGCCTTATGGGGGTTCCCTTGTAAATGACTCTTTGATTTTTCTCTTGCTACCTTTAGAGTCCTCTTTTTCTTTAATTTTTCCAATTTAATTATATGTTTGGGTATGGGTCTGTTTGGGTTCATCTTGTTAAGGATTCTCTGTGTTTCCTGTACCCAGATATCTTTTACCTTCTTTAGGTTTGGAAAGTTTTAGCCATAGTTTCTTCAAATACATTTTTTGATCCCCTCTTCTTTTTTCCTTCTGGAACCCCCATTTACATAGTTTGTCATGCTTTACATTACCCCATAGATCTCATATTGCTTTCATTTTTTTTCATTTGTCTTTCTGACTGCTGTACTGATTGGGTTATTTCCATTATTCTATCTTCCAGATCATTTTTTGTTCTTCTGTATTAGTCTGCTATTCATTGCTCCTAGATTGATTTCTGTCTTAGCAACCTTTTTGTCTAATTTTGATTCATTCCTCTTTATAGTTTCTAGTACCTTGTTACAGGATCTGCATTTCTATTAATAATCTTTTTTAATTCCTTTAGCATTTTCATTACATGCTTTTTGAACCTATGGTCTGGTAGAGTGGAGAGGTCTCTTTCATTGTTCTTTCAGGAGATTCCTTTTGCTCTTTTATTCAGTACTAGTTCCTCTGCATTTTCATTTTACTTAAGTTTCTCTGACTTTTACTGAAGTATTACTTTTAAGTATTACTTAAGTAATACTTAAGTATTTAAGAGAAGAATTTATCTACTGGGTCTTGAAGGCTGTTTGTATGTGGGAGTGTCCTTGTGCAGACTGTGTGGGTTCAAAATTTTTGGTGTGAGGACTGTTTTTGATATGTATGTCAGCTTTGTCTTTGTCTGGCCATTGTCCTCTTGGTAGGGGTGTATTTTGTTTTGTGGTGATTAGAGCCTGCACTGGTTGTTGGACAAATCCTATTTGCTTTGTAGCTGTCATAGCCCTGTCAGGGGCAGAGGTTGGTCCCCAGTAGTTTGAATAGAAGCCCACATATTGTAGACTGGAGCCCTCCCATTGGGAAAGGAGTTGTTTGTATATTCCTCTGCTGGGGACATGAGACTCTGTCACACCACCCACCACCCTAGTTCAGTCAGTTCAATTCAGTCACTCAGTCATGTCCGACTCTTTGCAACCCAATGAACTGCAGCACTCCAGGCCTCCCTGTCCATCACCAACTCCCGGAGTCTACCCAAACTCATATCCATTGAGTCAGTGATGCCATCTAACCATCTCATCCTCTGTCGTCCCCTTCTCCTCCTGCCCTCAATCTTTCTGAGCAATAGGGTCTCTTCAAATGAGTCACCTCTTCTCATCAGGTGACCAAAGTATTGGAGTTTCAGCTTCAACATCAGTCCCTCCAATGAACACCCTAGTGTGGGTCAACAAAGTCCATTGCTCCTGGACTTATCCCCAAACCCAGCTCCAATGTCCAATCCCCACATGTGAACCCTCACAAAGCCTGCTGTGGCTGGAGCTGCACCCCCACTGTGAGCATGGTGACAGTGAGTGTCTTATGACAGACCCATGTCCCATCTTGCATGCACTGATAACAGAGGTTCTATAGTAGACTTGCACCATCTTGCATGTGTTAACACTGGTGGCCTGGACCACACTCTAGGCCCTTCAGGCTGTCTCCGCACAGCTGAACTGAGTCTTCTCCCAGCATCCATACTCTGAAGCCTTAGTTTCAGTACCTGGCCACTGCATGTGCTAGCAGGCATATGTTCTGGGCTGACAGGTGTGGTGACATGATAGCCATCAGTGCCAGTCTCTCTCTGCCCTGATTGCTAGCAAGCCAGCATCCACACACTCCTCTCAAACAAATTCCAGGCCTTCCAGCACCCTGTCTGCCTTGGCAGACCTCTCAGCCAGTGAAGGGGATTCCCAGGGCAAGAGGACCTTTCCTCTTTCACAACTTCCTCATAGGTTCCATCCCAATTCTGTTTTCTTCATTCTACCTGGTTATGTAGGGAGCTTTCTTGAGGCTTTGGTTGTATAAGAGATCTTACGTCAGCTTTCAATGGTTTTCTGTAGAACTGTTCCAATGTAGATGTATTTTTGATGTATTTGTGGAAGAGGATAAGCTACACATCCTACTCCTCCATTTTGATCGAGACCTCTAAAAGGTTTTATTTTAACTGAGCAAGAATTAAAATATCACCGGAATAATTATCCAAGATATGTAGTGCTTTTTTATTTTGCAAGGATTTTAGATTCACAGAAGAGTTGTAGAGATAGTACAGAGAATTTCCCTTTTGTTCATGTCTTACATAACTAGGGTACATTTATCAAAACTGAGATGTTAATGTTGGTACACACTGTTGACTAAATTATAGATTTCATGTGGACTTTATTAATGTCCTCTTTTATTCTAGCATCCAACCAGGGAGACCACATCATAATTTTTCCTCAATGTCTTACTGTCTATAACAATTTTTCAGAGCTTGCTGCTCTAAATCAGGGGTTCTCAGCCCTGACTATCCACAAGAACCACTTAGGAAGCCTTTGAAAAGCACCAAGGCTAGAGCTACTCACCAATTACACCAAGAGTTGTTGGGTGCAGCCAGGGCTGGCATCATTTTTTCCTTAACTCCAGGTAATTCTGATGTGCAGCCAGACTGTGTTGAGATGTACTGCTCTTAAAACATCAGAATTCTGACTCCCCTGGTGGCTCAGTGGTAAAGGTCCACCTGCCAATGCAGGAGACACAGGTTTGGTCCCTGTTCCTGGAAGATCCCACATGTCATGGAGCAGCTGAGCCCGTACACCACAGCTACTCAGCCTGTGCTCTGGAGCCTGGGAGCCTTAACATCTGAGCCCATGTGCCACAACTACTGAAGCCCACGTACCTTACAGCCCATGCTCCACAACAAGAGAAGCCCCCGCAATGAGACACCCATGCATCATAACTAGAGAGTAGCCCCAGCTCCCCACAGCTGTAGAAAATCAGCAAAGACCCAGCACAACCATAAACAAATAAATGTTTTTTCAAGTCTCAGAATTCCTATTCATCCAGCCAAAGTTCTTCTTAGTATAAGTAAATATTTATAACTTAATTTTTAATGACACATGAATATTTAAATACATTTCTTATATAGTACTTACAAGTGCTTCATAACTATTTAATCACATCAGAATATTGCAGACTAAGGTTAAGTCTCTTTTAATTGTCCCTCAGCTATAGTCTCTTCCCCTTCTCCAAAGACACAGACACCCTTATGACTTTGATTTGCACCATTATAGACTTTGTTCTATGATTATTCATAAAAGTACAACAAAAAAAAGGTGGTATTGTGTGCTTATAATTTTAAATGATATTATGTGTAACATCCTGCAGTATGTTTTTTTCCCTTATATGTCTTAGAGATTTATCCATGTTATGACATATAAGTGTAGCTCATTCATTTTAATAGTTTCATAGTATAAAACACACTGACATTTATTTATGGACATTTAATTTATATCTTAGTGTTTGCTTTTGCAAGGCCTGCAGCTGTGTGCATCCTTAGGTATGTCACAGGATGCTTTTTATAGTACAGCATTTTAATCAGTAAGTATACTACCATCTGCATTTGTTGTTCAGTCACTAAGTTGTGTCTGACTGTTTGCAACCCCACGGACTGCAGCACGCCAGGCTTCTCTATCCTTCACTATCTCCCAGAGTTTGCTCAAACTCATGTCCATTGAGTCAGTGATGCTATTTAACCATCTCATCCTCTGTTGCCGTCTTCTCCTCCTACCCTCAATCTTTCCCAGCATCTGTGTCCTTTCCAATGAGTCAGCTCTTTGCATCAGGTGGCCAGAGTATTGGAGCTTCAGATTCAGCACCAGTCCTTCCAGTGAATATTTAGGGTTGATTTCTTGTAGAGTTGACTGGTTTGATCTCCTTGCAATCGCAGGGACTCTCAAGCGTCTTCTGTAGCACCACAATTCAAAAGCATTAACTCTTTGGTGCTCAGCCTTCTTTATGGTCCATCCTACATGGCTACTGGAAAAACCATAGTTTTGACTATATGGACATTTGTCAGCAAAGTGGTATCTCTGTTTTTTAATATGCTGTCTAGATTTGTCATGGCTTTCTTTCTAAGGAGCAAGCATCTTTTAATTTCATGACCGTGGTCTCCATCCACAGTGATTTTGGAGCCCAAGAAAATAAAATCTGTCACTGTTTCCATTGTTTCTCCATCTATTTGCCATGAAGTGATGAACCCGGATACCATGATCTTAGCTATTTGAATGTTGAGTTTTGAGCGAGCTTTTTCACTCTCCTCTTTGAACCTCATCAAGAGGCTCTTTAGTTCCTCTTCGCTTTCTGCCATTAGAGTGGCATCATCTGCGTGCTTCATTTCCAGCCTGCATATGTGCTAAGTCACTTCAGCTGCATCCAGTTCTTTGTGACCCCATGAGCTGTAGCCTGCCAGGCTCCTCTCTCTATGGGATTCTCCAGGCAAGAATACTGGAGTGGGTTGCTATGCCCTCCTCCAGGGATCTTCCTGGTCCAGGGATCGAACCTTTGTGTCCTGCATCTCCTGCCTTGCAGGCAGATTCTTTACCACTGAGCCACCAGGGAAATCCCAGTTTCCAGCATGTTTCTATGTAAATTAATGAGTATCTAGAAGTGCTCGACCTCAAAGGGTGTGGAGTCTTCATGTTTTTGTTTTAGTTGATATCTTATTCTTATCCTAACCAGTCTTTCAAACTGATTCTCACTTTATTTTCCCAGAAGCATTGTGTGAGAGGACCAGTTTTCCCGACATCTTTGCCAATACTTAATTTGTCAATTTTTGTAATGCTTGCCAGAATAGGTAATAAATATTATCTCATTCCTTTAATTTGCATTCAGTGATTATTTTAATAGAACTATAAAACACCAGAGTTGAAATAGATCTCATTCATCATACATAGAGTGCAACCACTCTGTTTAAAAAAGAACTTTTTGTATACTAGTAATACATGAACATATTATCAGGGTGAAAGTCTAACATGAAATTGCAGTATATTGAATTTTAAAAAAGCAAGTATTCTTTGGCATCTTTCTCTGAGCCCCTTACTGATGTTAATTTGTGCATATATTATTATGCCTTGTGTATTACATATGTACAAGCATATGTGGGCTTCCCTGGTACCTCAAACAGTAAAGAATCTGCCTGCAGTGCAGGATACCTGGGTTTGATCCCTGGGTTGAGAAAATCCCTTGGAGAAGAGAATGGTTACCCACTCCAGTATTCTTGCCGGGGAAATCCCATGGACAGAGGAGCCTGGCAGGCTACAGTCCATGGGGTTACAGAGCTGAACACTACTGAATGATTAAGCACAGCACACATGCATGTGTAAATGCAGAAAAATATAGCAGGTGGTAACAGTGTTTTATGTAAAAGGGATATAGCTCTGGGAATTTTTCTGAGGTTATTATTTTCTCAAAACAACACATCAGAAATCTTTCCATATCAGCACACAGAGATCTACTCTATTTTTTAACTGCTGCATAAAATTCTGTAGTGTGTTAGTGTAAAATTCTGGGGTGTATTAGTTATTTATTGCTGTGTAACAAATCACTCCCCAGTTTAGCACATTTCTTTTGGCTGTGTCGGGTCTTGGTTGCGACACAGAGGTTCTCTCCAGTGGTGGTGCACAGACTCCAGAGAGCACACGGTCTCTAGTTTGCAGCGTGCATGCTCTCTAGTTGAGGCACCCAGGCTCAGTAGTTTTGCCTCATAGGCTTAGTTGTCCCGTGGGATCCCTGTTCCTTAATTAGGGATTGAACCCACATCCCCTGCATTGGCAGGCGAATTCTTAACCACTGGACCACCAGGGAAGTCCCCCAATTTAGCACTTTAAAATAACATACATTTATCGTCTCCTCAGTTTGAGGCCAGGAATCTGAGAACAACTTATCCTGCTGGTTCTGGATCAGAGTCTCTCATGAGGTTGTAGTTGAGCTGTGGGCCAGGGCTTCAGTCACCTGAAGACTTGGCCAGGGGTAAAAGATTGGCATATAAGGTGTTAGCCATCACTTAAATGGCAGGAAGACTCAGCTCTTCTCTGCATGGGGCTTTCTATAAGGCTGCTCACAACAAGGCAGCTTCCTTAGTGATGAAAAAGAGGGAGAGAACCCAGGATGGAAGCTGCTGCCTTTGTATAGCCTAGGTTCAGGAATGGCTGGCATGCCATCACACTGCCATGTGCTGTTGGCTATTGGTCACGCATAACAACACTGATTCAGTGGGAGAGGACTGCAGCTGGGGCAAGGGCAGGAGGTAGGGTCAATAAGGGCCAACTTGGAGGCCGGCTGCCACATGGTGGTCTTCAGGTTTTCACAATGACATGCAAGCATTGCTCTGAACATCCTTAGGTCTGCTTCTTGATGCACCTGTACGCCTCTCCAAGTCCTAAGAGTAGAATTGTGTTCTTTTTGTTTTCATATAGGAAAACTGAAACTAGAGCAAGCGACTTCTCCAAGGTTACACTGCTAATCCCCTACAAGTCCAGGATTACAACTTCAGTCACCTGACTTCCAGTCCATTCCATTTCTAGAGCCATTCTGTGGGCAAGGTAAACATGAACTGAATTCCAATACATAACCTGAGATAAAACCTGGCTGGTAACTGTCAACAGTCAGTTCCCAGAATATCAGCAAACATGTAACTCGAATCTTGTTTACAGGCGCTAACTATATGTCACTGCACTGAAAGGCTAGCTTCGCCCATGTGTGAATGCCTGGTCTGTCTTGATTCAAAAGAAGCTGGTGGAAATGGGAATCCTTTCTATGCCATAATTAACAGAAACACTGTGGTCAGACAGATCTGTGTTTAAATCCGAGCTCTAACTCTTGTTACTGTTGAGTCACCCACAAAATTCCTCTGACCTGTTTCTTCATCTATAAAATGCAGATGTGCAGAATATTCACCACATGGGGTTGTGCTGAGGGTTAGTTGTGCTGAGATATGTGCTATCCCAGGGGCTGGTCTGCTCCATATGGGAGCCCCACAGGGCTGCTATTCTCTGTATTCTTCCTGCTGGACCCACTTCAGATATCCATCAAGATTCCTGAGTGAAAGAACAACATTTTCTAAAAATAAGTGATGCTGACAGAGCCCATCTTACTACTTTTCCCCACCTTCTGTGCCTCTCTTCTTTACACTGACCATTGTTCTGTGGCCTGTGCTTCCTGTTGGAAACAATCCAGATTTTCGAAGAATGTATGTGCAGTAAGCATGGAGCCCCCAGGGGCTGCCCTCCAGCCTCACACACAGTGCTCTTCCTGGCCCTGGGGTAGTGGTAGTTGTCCCTGCAGGCCTCACCTGACTCCTCCTTGCCTCTGCGACTCTAGCTCCAGCAGAGAACCCAGCACTTTAGAAGCATCTAGAATGAATCAGTGAGTGAATGAATGGGTTTTACCACAGAGGACATCTTGAGTACATCAGATAATCACCTGGATTTAAGAGGTTGAGAGGATTGAGGGATGAGGAATGGCTTTGAGTTCTCAGATGTCCAGCAAAAGGAAGGAGAGGATGGAATGGAACAAGAAGAGGGGCAGTAGTTTCTATGTGGTCATTTTAGGGTGCCCTTGGGACTTCCAAGGAGAAGGCAGTGGCACCCCACTCCAGTACTCTTGCCTGGAAAACCCCATGGACGGAGGAGCCTGGTAGGCTGCAGTCTATGTAGTTGCTAAGAGTTGGACACGACTGAGCAACTTCACTTTCACTTTTCACTTTCATGCATTGGAGAAGGAAATGGTAACCCACTCCAGTGTTCTTGCCTGGAGGATCCCAGGGATGGGGAAGCCTGGTGGGCTGCCGTCTATGGGGTCGCACAGAGTTGGACACAACTGAAGTGACTTAGCTTAGCTTTAGCTTGGGACTTCCAAGTAGACATCATCTACTGAGTGGAGCTTGAGAGAGACCATGACTCTTTACCAGCTGATTATTAGCAAATGGGCTTTTGACCACAGGTCACTGGGTTTCCCTGAGCTTCAGGAAAGGATTTCTGGAACCACTACAGTCCTTTAGTATCTAAAGCCCACAGAAGTTTTCTGGCCAGAGCCAGACAAGGACAGAGATGTAGAGATGTAAAAAAGAAGTGACACGTGTCCCAGACAAGTGATTCCCAAGGCCAAACCCAGAGGACGCAAGCATCCTCTCTCTTTCAGGATCCTGAAAGGTCAGCTGACACCCCACCGGGAACACATGAGTTTGGCTCCCCAACCCTGCCCTTACCCGAGCACTCACCCTACAGCCCCAAGGGAGACCCCATCCCTGGAGGGAGGCTGGCTCGCTGGCTTCAGTGCTGAAGACCCATTTCCTCCTCTGTTTAGGGAGCCAGGCTGGTCCCGTCAGCTGCCCTCACTGGCTAAGAGGGAGGTGTACCCCGGAGGGACCTGGGTGAGAAGGGCAGGGCTCTGGGGTACCCGCGCAGTGCTAGCGCTCAGCACAGCCACGATGCCACTCCCAGCAAGGCTCTGCAGGGCACGCCCGGCACTAACCCAGACAAGCAGAGGCAAGGACAGGCCAGACTCACAACGCTCTCGTTCCAAACCCCTCCACTGTTCTTCCTCAGGAAGTTTCCTGTTGAAAGATAAATGTTCTGTCTGTGACCAGACAGATTTATATTTATTTTCTTTTCCTCCCAGGCCTACGCCAGCCCAGACAGGTCAAAGGGCAGGATTCCAAGCCGTTGAGATGGTCTCCGGAGAAGACTGGAATTTCCCTGTGTCACAAATGTGGCAGAAACAGGCAGGCTGCCAGCACCCTAGGTTCCCTTGGCAAGTGGAGCATCTCTCAGGATGGGAAGGGGCCCCCACCTCTTTGGTGACCCTGGCTACTGGTTCCTGAATATCTGGTTTCAAGGGCCCTGAGTGGCTTATGTCACAGGAGCATGGAGTCATCACAGAGTATTTGCATCCAAAATACATTTTCCTTCACAACAGTGCCTGGGTCAGAGTAAGCGAAGGCGATCCTGTGCACTTTGGTGAATCAGTGATATGTCTGTACCATAACTGGGCCTTTAGATCTGACCGTTATATTCCTTATGTGATTCTCATCAGACAGCACTGCAGAGTTCCTGGAGAATCCCCTAGCAGACCCTACCAGGAAATGGGGTTCCACAGAGGTGACTGTGGTGAATGACTAAAGATCACTCCAAGGGTAAACTTAAAAAAAATTCCAAGACTAAAGACCACTTAAAATATATTTTTTATAATTTAAATGTAAAGCTTCCTAAAAACACTGTACTCAGCTAATATTCTTAAGCAAATAAATGGAGCAAGCAGTGAAGTAAGACAAAGACAATTATGATATTTCTCTTATGTGCAATCTAAAAAATAATACAAATGATATATATACAAAAAAACACACACAGACTCATAAACAGAAAACAAACCTAAGATTATCAAAGGGGAAAGGGAGGCCGTAATAAATTAGGAGTATGGCATTAACAGATACAAACTTATTGTTGTTTAGTCACTAAGTCATGTCTGGACCCCATAGACTATAGCCTTCCAAGCTCCTCTGTCCTTGGGATTTTCCAGGTAAGAATACTGAAGTGCCTTGCCGTTTCCTTCTCCAGGGCATCTTCTCAATCTAGGGATCAAACCCATACCTCCTGCTTGGCAGTTGAGTTCTTCACCATCTGAGCCACCAGGGAAGCCCAAACAATAAGACTTTACTGTATAACACAGGGAACTACATTCAATGTCTTATAATAGCTTGTAACAGAAAATAATCTGGAAAAAATATATATGTAACTGAATCACTTTGCTGTACACTGTTAACACAATATTATAAATCAACTGTAAGGGACTACCTCAGGCCCACTGGGGAGGGTGGGACAGGTGCCCCTACACGGGTGGCTCCTGATGGTCTTGCTTTTGCCTTCTTGCTGTTGTTGGCTTTTTAGTTTTGTGATCTGTCCCTTTGTCAAGCTGTCAGCACCTCAGCAGCTTCTCCACCTCCTTGAAGTTACTTCTTCCAGGACTAGAGCCAAAATGTGGTACATGGGGAGCAGCTGAGGGGACAGTGTTGTGGAGGGGGCAAGGAGGTGTGGTTTTACCCTGTCCTCTACCCTGCAGTGTATAACTTCTCTTCTGTGGATCCCAGGCTCCTCATCTGGAACACAGGGAGTTAGCAAAAGTGATTCTGTAAGGCTCTAAGCTTGGTAATTCGCATGAAGATATTCTAAAGTGACCTCAAACTCGAGTATCAACCCAAATGAGATTACACTGTGGTTATCAGTTAAGCTGCTTCACTCTTCCTGTAAATAGGGCACTTCCTGTGGGCAGGGACCATCTTGTGTTCATTTTCCAGTGCCTGGAAGGTAGCAAGCCTGTGATACACAAGGACGGACAGGCACGTGGATGGACCAGGCGGAACCGATGCACTGATTCTCTCCAGCTGTGACCCTTTCCCTGTCTCCTCAGCTCTGTCACAAACTCTCTGGGAGTGAAGAATAGAGCTTTTCTTCATGAGGTCTCCAAGCAGGGCTGATGGTCACTCAGGATGCACTGGTATGTCCAGACAAGTTATTAAAGCATTCAAATACTTCTCTACAGTGGGGCCTCAGAGAGCCCCCACCCCCAGATGCCCAGCATCTCATCCAATGCCCGCAGTCCCCCACCTGTCTGCTAAAGGATCATTCTTGGTCTGGCCGGGCCTCCAGGACTCCACTCCAGCTCTGTGACTGCATCCTTCTCACTGGTCAGTGTATTCCCATGCCGTTGTTAAATGTCCAGTGATGGACCAGCCTGATGCAGATGGTGGAGATGCAGCAGATGCTTGGTAAGTGCTATGAGAGCTCTTTGTTACCTGAGAATTGATATACATGGGCTCTGGTCCCCCCGTGGACTGAAGGAGTTCTCAGCAGGGAAGTGAACAGTGTCTGCCGCCTGATGTCAATAAGACAAGTTTATGGGGGTCCCTAGCTGGACAACATAAGGTCCTCCAAGGCCACCTGCTGGGGAAGGAAAATATAGACTTGCTGTCTTTGCACCTCCATCCCTGCCCATCCATCCATCTGTCCACCCATCTACTATTTGGGGACCACACTTTGGACACATCAGTCCAAGAAGGTCAGAGAGCAGGTCATGCAGTATGATGAGCTAGGCAGGAAGATGGGCAAGACAGTAGGAAGAGGGCAGACAGTGCCAGGAGCTGATCTGAGCCCCCACCCTCTGACCAGCCTGGAGGCCAGACTCTCAGAGCCTGTATTTTCTGCACAAGGGACAAAGTTAAACCTACCTTCCAGCTTGCTGTGAGGCCTAGTGATTCTAACACAGGATCTGTTCTGGGCCCTCGGTTGGGGCTTCACCTCCTGATGGGATCTTATTTGAATAAATCAGGATGTAAAAGATGATATTTCATGCAAAGATGGGCACAATAATGGACAGAAATGGTATGGACCTAACAGAAGCAGAAAATACTAAGAGGAGGTGGCAAGAATACAGAGAACTATACAAAAAAGATCTTCATGACCCAGATAACCAGTGGTGTGATCAGTCACCTAGAGCCAGACATCCTGGAGTGCAAAGTCAAGTGGACCTTAGGAAGCATCACTACAAACAAAGCTAGTGAAGGTGATGGAATTCCAGCTGAGCTAGTTCAAATCCTAAAAGATGATGCTGTGAAAGTGCTGCACTCAATATGCCAGCAAATTTGGAAAACTCAACAGTGGNTTGAAACAACATTCAAAAACCTAAGATCATGGCATCTAGTCCCATCACTTAATGGAAAATAGATGGAGAAACAATGAAAACAGTGAGAGACTTTATTTTTGGGGGGGCTCCAAAATCACTGCAGGTGGTGACTGCAGCCATGAAATTAAAAGACACTTGCTCCTTGGGAAAAAAAGCTATGACCAACCTAGACAGCATATTAAAAAGCAGAGACATGACATTACCAACAAAGGTCCCTATAGTCAAAGCTATGGTTTTTCCAGTAGTCATATATGGATGTGAGAGTTGGACCATAAAGAAGCCTGATTGATTGCTTTTGAACTGTAGTGTTGGAGAAGACTCGAGAGTTCTTTGGACAGCAAGGAGAGCAAACCAATCAACCCTAAGGGAAATCAACCCTGAATACTTATTGGAAAGACTGATGCTGAAGCTCTAAAACTTTGGCCACCTGTTGCAAAGAACTGACTCACTGGAAAAGACCCTGATGCTGGGAAAGATTGAAGGCAGGAGGAGAAGGGGATGACAGAGGATGAGATGGTTGAATGGCATCACTGACTCAATGGACACGAGTTTGAGCAAGCTCTGGTAGTTGATGATGGACAGGGAAGCCTGACATGCAGCAGTCCATGGGGTCACAAAGAGTCGGACATGACTGAGTGACCAAACCGAACTGAACAGAAAGGTTACAAAAGTCTGCCTTGTTTGCAAAGATACATCAAGCTGTGTACTTTATATGTATGCCTTTCTGCATGCAAAGTAGATACAGTAAAAAACTAAAACACCAAACATGTTCTCAGGCATCAAAAATATCATTAATAAAATTGTTGAGATGCTAAATCAAACAGCTAAGCAAAATCTAAGATTTTAGTTCTAGAGAGAAAATTCCTCAGATCAGTCATTTTCAATCGTGAATTACCTCTTTCAGCATAGGGATGGGAGTGTATAAAAATTGCTTTGGGCACAACTTTCTCCACCGGGTTAAGCTGTTTAACCCGGTGCCTTTCAGCAACAGCAGAGCTGGATAAGTAAGTCTGAGTAAGGATCAACAGAAACAAGGATCCAGTGAGTCAGGGGGTTGTTCAGTAGACACGCCTGACCAAGTAAATGTCAAGTTAGACAGGGTTAATTGCATAAAGATTGATGCAGGTTAAAAGGGAAGGGGAAAATGATGCAGTCCTCACCATACACCCAGAGGTGGGCCTTGGCTAATGGGAGCTAATGACTTTTTAATTTTTTATCCAGGAAGTGCTGCAGTGTTGACCTTCAAGGTTCAGAGAAGTCTGTTTAGGACATGGTGAAGTAGACTGCAATAATCCTGGCAACAGTGAAATTGCTAAGGTTTCATTTGCTGGAGAGGTGGGCTGGGGAGATGGTTTCAGATCTTTTATAATTTCAAAGGATGAGGAGCTGGGGGACTTTCTGTTTCATATCTGCTCCTTCCTGCTTCAGGAATACTTATGGTCTTCCCATCTTGACCAATCTTTAGACAGGGCTCCCAGGCCTGCTTATGGGCAGATGCAAACAGTCCCCAAGTTCAACAAAGACAACTTGTTTCCATGAGCTTATTTGAAGCCAAGCTATATGGAACTCAGAGTACATGTCCCATGCAAACAATGCCCTGAACAGCACTCAGTGCCCAGCCAGCCCACTGAATAGGCCCTGGAAGTCCACCTAGCTCTAGGGACCCCCCACCGTGTTCCCACGAGCAAACATTTCTCATTTGGTGGGCAGGGTGGAGGTGGGCTAACCTGAGTCCATCAGTGTTCCTTCAGCACACACTACTGAGCAACTACTCTGCTCCTTTTGGGGGAAAAACACAGCGATGTCGCCTCTACCTCAACGGTCTCAGTCAAGTGCGAAACTCAGGACAGCTGCCGGATACATACACCCGAGACCAAAAGTGGTCCCATAAGAAATGTGTGTTGGGTGCAAAGGGGATTTCAAGGTGGGGATGGAGTGAGGGGTGGTCACAGTCAAGTGGGGGGTAGAAGCAGGGAACTGAGGCAAGCGGGCACAGGGGGACTTGGAGGAGGGCTGAAAGGCCAGGGTGAGGTAGGCACTCCAGGCCAAGGATCAATATAAAGGAAGGTTGGATAGGCTTTTTTGTGAGGTTGTGGAAGGTGAAGGCAGGCATGAGGCCAGGGCGAGGCCCTGAGCTGGGTGAGAGGGTCTTTGTCAGAAGTCAGGCAGCTGTGGGAAGGGAGATGAACACCAAGAGCCTCACAGGACACCCCATGTTCCTGAAGCCTGCACACCCCAAGGCAGGAAGAGGGGGAATCCTACAGACAACATTTTACAACTTGCCCAGCTCCTCTCCCAGCTTTCTCCTCTTCAGGTGGAGGGGCCCAGTGGGCCCAGCGACTGCGGGGGGTGGGGGTGGCACCTGTGTCCCAAGGGAAAAGTGGATGTGGGTTCAAGAGAGAGAATCTCCTTCCCCAGCACTGGGGAGAGGAGGGGTGTGTCTCCGTCAGCTCCTCAGACGGCCTTCCTGCCTGGTGCCTCAGAGAGAGGACACCTCCTGTCTGAGGGCAATCCTCAGATCAGTGGACTCACGCCACTGAGTTTGTTCAGACAACCCCCTGATACACCCCTCTGCTCCTGACAGAACTCTTTCAGGAGCAGCTAAACAGTGTAGGTAACTTTCTGTGCTTTCCCAGGGAGGTCAGACTTCAGAGCCAGCCAGCCAAGTTCTTGTGGGTTCATTCATCTGGATACCAAATGGGAGGGGCCGAAAGAAGTCTCTTTAAAGCAAAAAGAGAGCTAAAGACAAAGTCTGCAGGCAGTCAGAGGGCTGTCTACCTAAAGCAGCTGAGGCTTGTAGGCCCCAATATATGTTCTCCCCCATTCCATGGGATAGTGAGCTAAGAATATGGCCATTCAGAAGGAAGACTACATTTCCCAGCATGTGACTAAGATCTAGTCAATAGGTAAGTGTCACTTCAGGGACTCTTTTTTAAAGGGAAGAAATATACTTTTCTCCTTTTCTTCCTTCTTGGTGCCTGGAATGTGGATATAATAGCTAGAACTGGAGCAGCCATTTTGGACCGTATCTTGGGACTGAAGCAACATATAGAAAAGCAACAAGGCCAAAGGATGCTGTGGATTCTTGACCCCATAGAGCTGCTATACTAGCACTACCTCTGTATAGAGGCCACCTACCTCTATATAGTTCTTTGAAAAGAAAGAACCTTGTATTTTGCTTAAGTCATTTGCTATTTTGGATCTCTCTGGTACGAACAGTAAGACGTAATATTACATCATTTTTCAAAGTACAAATCCACCCTTTTCCAAGAAAGACAGCCAGATAGTGGGTTGCTACTTGCAAGATCCATTCACATGGATCTAAGAAAATTCATTTCCTGTTTTCTGCACAGCCACTGTAGGTAGGTATTATTGCCAGCATACCACAGGCAAGGAACTGGCAGCTCAGAGGGGTCAATTGTTTTATGGTTTGGCAGCACGCTTCAGCTTTAATATGAATTACTGATGCCTGCGTCCCTCTCCCCTCCACGGCCCAGTGGGGGCTGATTGAACCCTGGTTCCCTCCAGAGCCGAGGGCCCCACCCGCGGCAGGTGCTCTGTAGATTTGTGCCAAATCGATTTGCTGTACATGCAGCGAGTTCCCCTCCATCTGAGGATACTGATTTCTTCTGAATTCCATTTCTCTGTTTGACATTCTCCAAGAAAGGGAGAAAAACTCCAAGGGGAGAAAAGAGCTCAGTCCTGTCAGGTGAATCTTTGGCCGGCAGAGGGCCAGGTGGCCAGGGCTGGGCAGTGTATGAAAGAGCCTGCTCTGGGATGTCAGA